TGATTGCTGGGATTAAAGGCATGTGACACCACCACACAGCCCTCAGTGATTATTAACGTGCAACTGGCTGCCTGGGGCCTCCAGGTGGAAGAGGGATTTCCCAGCAACCCCAGTCACCTCCAGTTGTTGGGAAACTATGCCTGTGCAGTATTTAGGGGAGCACCCTGTCCCTTGGGGCACCTCCTTTCCAGAGTTTAGGTGACACGAGTTTGGAAATTCATGGAGTTCCTCTGGTTCTCCTAGAACTGGTTTGTGACCCAGATTTTCCAGAGCAGCTTTTAATGACTTATCTCACTTTCAACACAGAGTTCCCATGACTGGAGCTGACTATTTAAATACTGTTCATGTCTCTTTAGCTGTAACATATTTTGGCATGTTCTCTCTCCCTCTCCCCACCCTCTTCTCTGCCAATGTCAGCCTACATGAACTTATGCCAATCACTGCTATGTGTCCTTTGATCTATTCCACCCACTTGTGTTTTTCTAGATTCCCTAGATACCTCTTAGCCCCTCCCCATTCTCTGTAAGGACACCTTGTCATATGTTCCTTCTGAGTTTTCCCTCATGTTCCTCTGTCTATTTCTAGTTGTGTCTTTCTCTGACTTCCTTTCCCTGCTCTTCCTCTCTTCCTGTCTTATTCCTCTTTTCCCTCCAGTTCCTCACCCTTCTTCTTCTCTCTCCTGTCCACGCTCTGATTCCTACAACACAACTGCTCCTGTTGCAGCTTCCTCGTGTCTCTGTGCATCTGTCTTTATTGGAATCTGTCTTGACGTCCTTGCCTCTCTACTGTTTACTTGTCTTTGTTCCTCTTCTCCACACTCCTGTCTTTCTAGTCTTGGGACTATTATATGGACAATTCAGGAGCCCAGGGTGACTGAAGTTACTTGGAACTCAATACTAAGATAATTCTTAGCAGAGACATTGCTCAGCAGGAGAACACTTGCCTAAAATCTCTCAGTGAAGGGATGAGGACAGGCATGCTCAGCAGGAGAGCATCTTCTGGGATGCACAAGGGGGAGTCCGGAAGTGTGGGCTCTTTGGAAGAGAATTTGCTTAACACACAGCCCTGGGCTCCACCCCTATCATGAGGGTGGAGGGGGACAACTAAAGGTTAAGGAATGGTCTCTAGAACCTCTCTTTCTCTAAAAGATAAGAAACCTGAGCACAAAGATTCCATGTTTACATCCCATAGAGTCCATTCAACTGAATTAAATTTGGCTGGAGGCAGCTTCTGTGTGTAACAAATTAAACAAACACAACAGTCAACTGAACCACACACTAACTTGAGATTATATTCTTCCAAGAAAGAACAAATCTCATCACTCACAGCAGTTAACCTATCCCAAGCTGCCAACTACAACAGTAATCATGGACCTAGTCCTGTATCCTGGAGGGTGAGCCTGCCCTCTAGTCTCTGGGAAAGGAAGCACAGGTCCGTCTCACCTATGGAAAAGGGCATAAAAGCTTCATTTTTCTTCAGAGCCCCACTGGCATCCAGGAAGTGGTCAGGATTGAAGGCATCTGGTTTTTCAAAGTACCGTGGGTCATGGAGAGCTGCATTCAGGATGGGGTACACTTCAGTGTTCTAGGAGACATTGTGAGAGGCAATGATATTAGCATACCTGGCTCCCATAGGCAGACATCCTTAGGGAACCACAGAATGCTGGGAAACCACAAACAGGCCAAGGGTGGTCACTGAAAGAGTGGAGGATGACCAAGGCATAGAGATGTGGAATCACAGCTGGTCTCACCTTGGGGAGCAGGTACCCTCGGAACGAAGTGTCTTTGGTGACTTTGTGTGGCACTCCAATCGGGAGAATATCTGCAAATCTCTGAATCTCATGGATGACAGCATCAGTGTAAGGCATTTTGTTGCGGTCATCAAGGGTTGGTGGGCGGTGTGAGCCTATCACCTGATCGATCTCCTTTTGGACTTTCTCTGCACAGAAAGGGAGACAACATAGAATGTCCGTCCCTATACAGAAGCAATGCACAGCGACCCTGTTTTCTGTGAGCCAATAGCTTAGGAACAGTGCAGAGCCAGGAGACTCTGCTGAGAAAGACACAGAGCACTCTGGGCATACACACCTGTGCTTCTCTCCAGCCACAACTATGTTAGAGACTCTCTCCAAAGCTCCAACTTTGCTCATAACAGAAAGAAAAGGAAAACCCACAGCAACGGGCTCTTTTCACCTGTCAGTATGAGGGAAGGCTGGAGAGAGAGATGGTAAGAATTCTCGATATTTGACATAATATGATATAATTTGTGTTCCTGCATAACATACACACACACACACATCTTTGAATGGAATTTATATTTTAAAATTCAGAGAGCTGGAGAGATGTCTCAATGGTTAAGAGCACCGGTCACTCATTCAGAAGACCGGGGTTCAATTCCCAGCACTCACAAGGCAACTCACACTGTGACTCCAGGTCCAGGGAATCCGACCCCCTCACACAGACATATATGCAGACAAAACAACAATGCACACTACTAAAAACAATTGTAAAAATCCAGACTAATATCCTCAGGAATAAAAGGAAAGTAAGTTAATCTATGTATAATTGAGTACTAAATATGAATACTTTGGTGAATATTTTGGCCAATAAAATGGCTCAGTCAGCAAATGCATTGATTTCCATCCTGATTGCCTGGCTTTGACATCAGGACCCGTGTGAATGTGCAGGAGAGACGCACAGCACAAAGTTGTCCTCCCACCTCCACACATGAACTGCAGCAAACAAACTCACAACATCACATCGATTTCAGATTCTTAGAATGTGAGTGTGTAAGTCAGCCAAGCAGTGGATGATTTGGTTAATAAAGGAAAGATGGCTGAGTGAGTGAAATGAGCAAAGCAAAATTGGATGTCCATATTCCACTTCTCACTCACTGTATTGATCAATTGAGTCAACAAATGGTTCATAGACAAATAAATCAATGAGCACAACTAACCAAGCATTAAGCAAATATGTGGATGAATAAATGAGAAAATATAGGAATAAATGGATAGGTCATTGAACGATGAATAAGTCACAAATAAATGATTGAGTTATTCAATGGATACATGGAGGAATGGATGGACACATGAAGGGTGGATTCAAATGTCAATTAGTAGGATTAAAGAATGACCAATGAATCAATGATAAATAGCCCACTCAACTAGATCTGATCAAAGAATAAAACTCATAGGCTGATTCATCCAAATAAATGATTGAAATATGGGCCCTTAGGCGACACAGAGATGAAAGAATCAAGGATGAATAATCTATGGTTGTAGAGAAGATGGGCAGAGGAATAGATGAGTGGGTAAATAGCTGTGTAGCAGGATGGATAAATGGTTGGATGGATAATAGATGAATGGAAAATGAACAGAATGGGGAAACAGATAAATAAGTGGAAGAAGAGAAAGACAAGTGAATAGAGGAATGTAAAGACAGAAGGAAAGAAGGAGGTGAGGATGGATGGATGGATGGATGGATGGATGGATGGATGGATGGGCAGAAGGATGAGTGGATCAACCATTAATTGGTAGGTGAAAACAATGGAAAACTAGCCAGCTGAGTGTTCATTCATGCACCATCCACAGCAATGCCCTAGTTTAGAATTAGGCCAAAGCCTTCAGTGCTCCAGATATAAGAGGTCCATGGCTCTCTCATCCACACAAAATTCCCAGCCAATAGGGAACTAGAAGATTCCCCAACTGGCCATCTGTGGTTCACCTGCAACATGGGGTTATTTGAGCATGAGTAGGAAGCCATATCGGAGCGTGGTGCTGCTGGTCTCGGTGCCAGCAAAGAAGAGAGACAGCACGGAGATCATGAGGTTCTGGTGATGGAACTCCGTGTGTTGGTTGGACTTCTCCTGGTTCCAGATGGGAGAGAGAAGGGAGGGTCAGGGGTGACTGGAGCCTTGCAGGAAGATGCACACACATCCTGGGAACTGTCCTTCTGTCTCACATTATATGGATTACAGACATTTCTCAGTCCTTAATAATATTGCTTGATCTCTGTCTGTTCTGTCTTCTGTTTCTACTGTGCTGTCTTGTAGTTTATAATGGCTTGTCTCCCAGGCTCTCTCTTCCTCTGTAGTCTTTCCTGCCTTTTGTCCCTCACTCTGTTTCTTCCCCACCCTTCTTTCTCCCTATCACATTTTCTCTTCCTTTTATTTTCATCATTTTCCAGACACTTCTGCATCTCCTCCACTCCATTTCCTGTCTCTCCTCCCCGTCCTCTGCTCCCTTTTCCTCCGCTCACATCCTCAGCCTTCACTCTTACCCATTCCCTCTCATTAATGCAGGACTTACCTTCTCCATGCGTATAAGGTAGGTATCGATGAAGTCTCTTGGATTGCTGGGGTCCAAGGTTGTCCGGTGCTTCTCCACATTGTGGCCAATGTAGTTAAGGATTTCTTGCACATTTTTGAATATTTGCTTGTGGGCACCAGGAAAGTACTTCAGGAAACCAGAGAAGAGCTCAAACACCTGCAAGAAGGAAGGACCCAGGAGGTTCTCTTGAGCTTTTAGGTCACAGGAAATGGAAGTTCTCTTAGTGTTCTATTGCTGCACCATACCCAGAGAAGAGATACCATAGCCAAGGCAACTCTTACAAAAAAAGCATTTTTGAGGGCTTGCCTACAGTATCAGAAGTTAGTCTATTATCATCATGGCAGGAAGCAGACAGGCCTGGTATGTGCCTGAGAGCTTTCATCGTGACATGCTTGTAGACAGACACGTGCCTAAAAACTGGCATCATGATGTACATGCAGAAGGGCATGTGTCTGAGAGCTGACATCATGATTTCCATGCAGAATGGCATGTGTCTGAGATCGACACCGTGGAATACAGACTGGTAGAACTAGAGGGAACACTGGCCTTGCATGGGATTTGGAAACTCAAAGTTCACCCCTAGCAACACATCTTCTCCAATGAGGACACAAAGCCTAATCCTTGTAAACAGCTCTGCAAGCATGCAAATACACTACTCTATGTGGACCAATCTCACTCAAACCACCTCATGCCCCTAGGTGCCCATGTCAAAGGGATAAGTGCACAAAATGCACACACAAATATACACATCTCTCTCATATGTATGTACTCTACACACATGCATGTTCTCAGCTTTCTCTCTAAACCTGCCTCTCACCCTGGCCTTGCACTCTGGGTCTCCATTTTCCTCTCCTCTGCTCTCTCTCTCTCAATACCTGTGCTGAGTTGTCATTGTGTGTTTTAATTTGGGGATTTGCTCATGCATACAAGGTCCCATTCTTGCCTGAGTGACCTTAAACTCAGTATAGCAAAGGATCACCCTGAATTTATCATCTTCCTGCCTCCACGTTCTGGAATTGCATGAGTGGTGTGCCACCACACCCAGGAAATGCAATGAGGACCTCATGCATGAAAACCAAGTCCTCTACCCTCAGAGTTACAGCTGCAGCACCCACATCACCATTTCGTGCAGGTGTGAATGACTCTGTATTTCTGCATTTACATCTCTGCCCTGCTCCCCACCCTATCTCCCACCTGCTCGCAACCTCTTTGCCTCTAAAAATTGTCTCTGTCTTCCTTCAGCCCTAAGAGACTCCTTTTTTTACCCACCTAGCATTGTCTTCTTTCCACTGTCTTGGATGCTCCTCTCTTCCCACCTACTGACCTGGCTGGAGAATGAGCTGATGAGTGAGAAGATCTGATAGAACAGGTCCAGCAGGCGCAGGAACTGGCGATCTTTGTAGTCAAAGCGCTCACCAAAGACAATGGAGCAGATGATGTTGGCTGTGATGCACTGGAAGAGGAAGGTGGGGTCCAGGGGGGCTCCTGGAGGAGGATGCAGGACAAGAGACAGGGGATATAGAACCAGGAAACATTTGCCTTCGGCCCCATCTCTGTAAAGCTGAACCCCTCCCTCACCACTCAATGAACAGGAACAGTTGCTACCACATTTGCACATAAGATGCCCATATGAGTCTGCACTCAGAGATGCATGAATCCTTTTATTTAACTACCTCAGTAGTATAGAGATTATGAGATGCTATTCATATACATAGAAGGGGAGGCACCTTCACCAAGGAAACTCAGCTAATCATGACTGGAGCTAGGATGCTGGGACAGAGAGGTAGAGTGTGTGTAGTCGGTCTCCACACTGCTCCTCCTCCCAGGACAGCATCCTGACTCTGAACTGATAGCTAACTTTCTCCGGAGAAAATGGTGCAGAGAAGGGTTCAGGGATGGCTGTGTGAATTTACAAGCCCTGCACACTCCATGCCCACTTTCCAGTCTTCTTCCATCCCTCCCTTCTCTGAATTCCTCCATCCTCCTCTGAATTCTTCCATTCCTTCTCTGACTTCCTCCATCCATTCTCTGACTTCCTCCATTCCTTCTCTGACTTCTTCCATTCCTTCTCTGACTTCCTCCATCCCTCCTCTGATGTCCTCCATCCTCTCTCTGACTTCCTCTATTCCTTCTCTGACTTCCTCCACTCCTTCTCTGACTTCCTCCATTCCTTCTCTGACTTCCTCCATCCCTCCTCTGATGTCCTCCATCCTCTCTCTGACTTCCTCCATTCCTTCTCTGACTTCATCCATCCCTCCTCTGACTTCCTCCATCCCTCCTCTGACTTCTGAGCTCTGTGGTGTTCCAAAAGTCATCAGCCCATGCTGCCTTTGTGTGCCAGGTTCAGTAATGGACCCTGGTGGTTGGAAAACTGTTGTCAGTCTAACAGTATTGGGGCCACTGTTGCCCTTCACCCTGAGCTGGCTTGTCTGTGATCTCTGATCCTGTGTGGATCCTTGCCTGGAGCTCAAGAACTTCACTCTCATCCTTGGGGCTCACTTCTCTTCCTCTGGGTCCTTCCATCTCTCACTTCTTTCTCCAGTTCATTCTTCTCAGCCTCTGCACCTTTCTTCCCTCCCCCTCCGCACTTACATCTCAGATCTCCTGAGAAAAGTCAAGAGATGACAAATACCCTGTGTAAAGAAGTGGAAGTGCAAACAACGATCTTGTCACCAATGTGCCCTTGATATATCAAACCTTAAAGTGCCCAGGGTTCCTTTGAGTTCTGCCAAAGTCAAAAACTCATGAGCCTCTGTGCCCACTCTGCTCTCCAGCACATTCACAAGGAAGAAAACACAGTTCCCTGCTTAGACCATGTCTGCAGGTCCTCCTGCTCCCTTCCCTTGGATCTAGATTCCACATTTGTCTTTGATAATACCGTGAGGGTAGAAGGCAGGGATAGGGAGCAACTACAATGGTTGAGTCAAAGTGGCTTTAAACTCTATGGGCAATAGAAGAGGACCTTGAAACTCTCAGTCTCCTGCCTTTACCGCTGGTGTGCAGGGATTACAAACATGCAGGACCATGCCCACTCATATGGTGCTAGAAGCTCTACAACCAGCCATAGCCACATTGTAAGACAGGACCTGAAAATATAGGCAGGACTGGCCTTAAACATATGACCATCTTGCCTCACTTCTGGAGCTCGGAGAAGACAAGTGTGTACCAGTCATATTTAGATGACAGAAAATTAAATCACAGATTGATTTTCTGAAGAGAGTGACCCCTCTGGTCAGTACATATTTCTGAGTTATTTTAGACACAATATATCTGACAATCCTTTCCCTGCCCTTGTTTTTCCACCTCTGCCCTTATATCATTCTCCCCATACATTGTGTGTCTGTCTGTCTGTCTGTTTCTCTACACTCTTTCTCTTTCTTAGGCTATGCACTCAGGTCCCTGTGGCACCTTCTTCCTTTCTGTCCATTCTCTGGGACTCACCCTGGTATTTCCGCAGCTCTTCCACCAGATATCGGGCCTCCTCCTGAATCCGCTCCTCCACACTCCTCTTCCCCATCCCAAAGTCTCTCATGGTGGCCAGAGAGAATCGTCGAAGGGCCTTCCAGCGTTCCCCATTGGCAAAGATGACACCTAAGAACATAGGGGAAACTTGATGGGTTACAACAGAAGTTCAAATACCCCGAGTCCTTCTCCACATCTTTGGCTCCACCTCTCACACGACTTCCTGGACCACATCCTCCACTCCATCCTGTCCCAGGTCTCACCATATCCCTGTACAACTGGCTCAACCACAGCAACTGTCCCCCGGCCAGAGAAAGCCTCAGCTTGGTCCACCAGAGCCTCCCTTATGGCCTCTGTCCCACACAGCATGACCACGGGCCTTGGTCCCAGGTGCACTGTGAACACGTCTCCGTATTTTTCTCGAAGCTGCCAAGGATAATCACACCAGGATTGTGGTTAGTCAGTGCAGACATTGTTACACTGTGAAACACACACAGATTAGTAAATAGGTACCCCTCCCCTGGCCACCCTTCCCTTTGAGGACCTAAGAGGTGAAGGGTTAATTCACCAGATGTTCAGGGTCTGCACTGATTCGTTGGATTTCCTAATCAGTACACCAGCACTATACTAGGAAGACAGGGCAACACTTGTTTACAATCCTGGCACTAGGGGGACAGACACCAGAGAATCAATAGTTATCCTTGGCTATACATCCAAATTGAAGACAACTTCAGCTACACATGACCCTATCTCAAAAAAAAAGGATAGGTATAGATATGGATGCAGATACACATGTAGTTACGTGCCCATAGTCTTCAGACTGGCTGTTTATCTCTGGACTCTCAATCAAGAACCATGCTTTCTGTCACCAAGGCTGCCCAATGCCTCCTGACAACATTCATAGAGAATGGCCCTGACCCACCCACTGGGTTACGTGGGAAGGAAAGTGACAGTCACCTAGTAGTGGTCCTGAATGTGAGTCATGACTGCAGTATGGACACTTGGGATAATGCCTGGCCATGCAACCATCAGGGCATCTACAGGGAATTGGTCCCAGGAACATGACAACCCTGCAGTGCTGAGAGCCCTTGAGGCGCATGGTGAGGAGTTTGCAAACAACACCCCCTTCTTCTTGTAACCTTTCCTCTCTCTAGATTGCACTGCAGCTAATAGAAATGAAAGGCTATGAAAACGGTCAGTGCCCAGTGTTGTTTGGGGACAATGCCAAGATAAAGCTCTATACATGTTTGATATTGACATATTTATGTTTTTAGATGGGGGGTCACACTACTGATTCTTATGCAACAATAAACTAAGAATTCTCAGACGAGATCAACAATGTAGATGAAATTTAGCCAACGCAATGTTGACACAAAAGCAAGCTTTGATTCCATCTGCTGCACCTAACTGATGTTCAAACCCAGGTGTGGTTGATGGTGTGTCAGGATAGTGGGAAGGTAGTGACTACAAGGGGCTGAGACAAGGACCAGTCTTGATGTTCACTGGTCTGCACATCAGTGATAAGAATCTGTTCTCCTTTCAAATTTATTGAGGTGTGCTTGTTGAGAGATGACCCACTTCAATCATATCGTAACTCAAAATGTAATAGTTGGAGCTGGAGAGGTGGCTCAGTGGTTAAGAGCACTGTTTTTATTGCAGAGAGTTTAGTCCTGCCTCCCATGTCATATAGCTAACAACTGCCTGTAATGGCAGCTTCGTGGGATTTGATGTCCTCTAGCTTCTTCAGATATCAGACATGCATAAGAACCACTTAAACACACACACACACACACAAAATAATGATGATGAAAATAAAAATAGAGGGTGGGTGGGTGGGTGGGTGGGTGGATGGATGGATAAGTAAATAAGTAGGTAGATAAATGAATGGATAGACAGACAGACAGACAGACGATACGATACGATACAGATCATTTGTAAACACTGTAATTTGGGCACAACAGATAAGAGAACTTGGCCAAGTTGTGATGATCAGGGTTTGGAACTCAGCACCAATATAACAAGGGTATTCATGCATACCTATGGCTTCTGAGCAGTGTTTGACAGTGAAGATAGGATTTCTAGGACTTGTTGATCTCCAGACCCAGTTTCAGGGAGGGATCCTGCCTCAAAGTAATAAGCAGAATTGATGGAGGAGGACACCTGGCACCCTCCTCTGGCCTCTGCCCCCATGAACAGGTGTGTGCACACATCTAGAAATATACTCACACGGGCTGGAGAGATTGCTCAGTGGTTAAGAGCACCGGCTGCTCTTCCAGAGGTTCTGAGTTCAATTCCCAGCAGCCACATGGTGACTCACAACCATCTGTAATGAGATCTGGCACCCTCTGGCGTGTGGACATACATGGAGGTAGAATGTTGTATACATAATAAATAAATAACTCTAAAAACAAGAAATATACTCACACAGACAGACATACAGACCAACACACTCAGAAATTTGCATGTTTTAGAAGTTAAGATTACTTTAAAATGCTATGCACTGCCCTCTGCAAGACCCCTCCTGGTTCCCTACTTCTGCTCTTCCATCCCTAAGAACAGTTTCACCACAACCCCAAGTCCCAGCATTCACTGAAACATTCCTTACTTAATACCCCGAACATTCCCTAAGCCCCTCACTGTACCCTTGCTGCTGAAGATAAGATCCGGTCCCTACCATGATTGCACTGCTGTACCTGACAGGATCCCATCAGTCCTCTGCGTCTCCATTCCTCCTTGTTCCTCTTTGACACCAGCCCCATGTTGCTCCCTGACCCTGTTCCCCTTCAGATCCTTTCTGCAGCACCTGCCTCCCTCGGTGCCACTATCTGTCTCTCTCAGAGTTTTTGTTCACAAGCAAAGCAAGACATTGTGTCACAAACTCCCACCATTTGCTGAAACACCATGTTGCTCCCGTCCATCTGCTGTGTCTGTCGGTCACTGCCAGGGTAATGCTCCGTAGGCGTAGTGACCTTATCTGCCTCTGAGATGTCACAGATAGAATGTTCTTCAGGACAAAGGGACCTAATAAACTATCAGTGATTTAGTAAATAAGTGAATGTGTGGGCAAAGCTATTTGTCATTTAATAAACACGTGTTGTCACACCCTTGGGAGCCATGTATCCATGTTGTCACCGGAAGAGAAAGGCAATATTCAAGAATACTCAAAACTGAGGCACAATCTTACATCTCTCTGACTTAGATGAATGGAGAAGAATTTGTACCAAGCCTCTTCCCCTAAACCAGGTCACACAAGTGTTCAGCTCTTCTCTTTCCACTAGTCAAAGCATACTGGGTGACTAGATGGCCCAAGAAAGACCTGGAACAAGTCCAAGAATTCTCAAAATAATATTGTGAATTGTTTTATTCTGAGACAGGATCTTTTATCCCAAGCTGGTCTCAAGTTCTCTCTGTAGATAAAAGACGACCTTGAACTCCTGATCCTCCTGCCTCCACCTCCCAAGCGCTGAGATCACTTGTGTGTCACAGACCTGGAAAATGCTGACAAGTTATTGTCAATTTCTGTATGCCTGTTTACAAAAGAGGTGGCCTGAACTCTTAACCTAATTCTGAAAACTTTCAGTGGTAGTTACATCATGGAGTGGCTTTATTCCAGGAACATTTCAGAGACTTGGGAGCTGCAGATCTGTATGCACCAGATCTCGGCCTCTCCTCTCACTCTCTGTTCCTGTGCCTGTGAACCTTCCCCAAGCTGAACCTCATCTTCAGTCTCAGCTCATTTTCCAAATGTCAAGAAGGGGCACTTTCTATAGATCACAGATTATTGTTACATTTTTTGAGACCGGGCATTTTTAGTATGGCATGCATCTGAAAGGAGTTTCTTACCGTGTCATCCATGTTATAAGAAAAGGCAACAAAGCATGAATCTGAGAAAGAAGGGGCTGAACTCACTTTGATGATAAACCCACTCCTGTGACAGATACATTGATCCATTCATAAGGCAGATCTCAGAAGAAGAAAGGAGGAGGCAAGAGTGATGGCCAAGATGGTGATGATAAGAAAAGGAAGTGCAGAGGAGAACAAAGAAAGTGGAGGAGGTACATGCTAAAGTTCCCTCCTCTATTGGCTAAGAATGCATTTGCTTGGCAAAGTGCTTGTCTGGCATGTGTGATTTATTCCCAGCACCCAATAAAAAGGATGTGATGTAGCACACACCTAGAAAAATACTTATGTTGAAAATGATACTGAAATAACACTCCCCAAAATAGTAACACCACAACACAGAGTTTATTTATTAAAGAAAAATAAAGTGTTATTATGACACCATAGAATACTGGTGATTTTAAGTATGGAGGGTCTAGCTCCTCTTTCTGTCTCTACAAGTGGCCAAAAGAATGTCATCATTAAGACCCCAGTCTGTAACAGACACACCATGACTGAAGCCCACATAACCATCTTAGAACGCAGCTGCCTAGAAGAGGTCTCAGTTTCTTGAGCCACCAGAGAAGCTTCCAAAAGTCACTCCAGGGGGCTTGCCAGCTGCTGCCTCCTGTGCATCTGCACATGGGGTTGGACCTTATAGAGCTGACACAGCCTTTAGCAGCTGGATTTGAGTCAGGCTCCAGGCTCATCCACAACACACTTGAGAGAGCCGAGCTGGTTAGTTCTGGGCTTCACTACAGGACATCACTACCACTTGGCATCCAGAAGTATCTGTCTGGACCACCTGCCCTTTCTTCTTGCCTGTTCGATATGCTGTGCCTTGAACATGATTAAAGTGTCCTCTGTGCACTCTCTGCTGGAAGCATGGTCCCCGGTGTGGTTGTGTTGAAAGGTGGCAGAGTCCTAGGGAGCTAAAACCTAATGAGAAGTATTGGGTCTTCAGGGCAGATCCACAGAACAGGTTAATGCTGGTCTCACAGAGAGGGCTGGGTTCTCGGGGAATGGATTATTATAAAACAAGGCCAACCTGTATGGTTAGTATCTACTGCATGTGACCGGTTTTTCTGTTCTCTACTGTATTGTGACACACAAGAACGGTCCCTATCAGAGGTTGGAAGAATTGGCTGCTTGATCTTAACTGTCAAATTCACAATTATGATCTGGATAAGCCTTTAATTTATAAGGAACTTAGCCTCTGGACTTCTGTGGCAGAAACAGAAAACAGATAAAGACATGAGGAGACTTTCTTTTGCCTGCTTCATTGAATCACTTCACTTTATACCGTCCTTAGCATAGCTTAAGCCAGTTCATCCCCATGACCTGAAGATTAAACGCCTGCCTCTCCTCTGACACACTGTGACCTCATCCACCTGGCTCCACTCTTCCCTAGCACCAACTGCTGCTCAGGAATGGCTTTTTCTAGAATGTCATCATTCTAGAAAGTCTTTATGATTTGTTCAAATCCTGCTACTTACATGAGTTTGTTTGAACTCCCAACAAATCTTAAAATTCCTATTGCTTTGCTTGTATCCAATATCACCCAGGTGAGCAGATAAATTTGTCAAATTAGTTTTTATGAGTTCATTCTATATCTGCAAACAGACTCTCAGCTTCTGAGGGCCAAGGAAGGCAGCTTGGCTCCCTGACATTGCCACATACATTGGATCATTGATTTGAATGGTTCTTTAAGGAGCTCTATAGAGTGCAGGAATTCCCTGCCCAGTGCACATCACCTAGCCCCTGGCAACCTTGTTTGCACATGACACGATGACTGTCCCTACAGGGAAAAGATGCAGCATGTCGTGCTATCATGACAGGATGTCACCAGCCCTCACTGTGAGTTCTGGGCGTACGGGTGCTGGGGGAGGTGCCACTTTCTTCAGTGATGTACTGTTCATAAGTTGCTCACATGACAGTAAATAGCTCCTACATCCATCCTTACTCAAACAACCATAATTACCTCTAAATAGGAATGACCTTTAGACACAGAGATGTGGACAGCAAAATAAAAACAGAAGGAATAAGATTCTCAGAGAAAACAAAAATATTGGATAGGATGCTAAGAGGAACAGTCTGGCATGTGTGAAGCACATTCGAAAAACACTTATGTCCAGATGTGCCACACATCTGTCAATCCTGCACATGAGATGTTAGCTCAAAAGGATTATTAGCCTGAGAAGAGTAGGATGATCTTATTCCTCCTCCCCCCAAAAATGACATTGTCTCATATTTTAAAATTCAAATGAATACACCATTGGTCCAGGTGGGTGATATCTTCAAAAACCAAGGGGGAGCAGCATTGTTGCCACTAAATCAGCTCTCTAAACCGGAAGTGGGGCCAAGGATGCTGAGTGGTTACTAATAAAGAAGTGGTAATTAAAGACGAAATCTCTCTTGTGAAGACTGTAAAAGATGGTGTCAGGGTCAGCTCCTTGAATGGTCCATGTGTTACAAAAACATAAAAATAAGCATTCCCTACCTACCCCACCTCCTGACCTGCCTCTCCTCCCCTTTGTTCCTGAACACAGCAGGCTAATGCTAATCCCTTGTGCTGGCAGAAGCAAATCTTACCTACTGCTACATCTGAGATTTTTCTTTCTCTTCTGGACCAAAGAGGAAAATTGTAAGCCCTTGCCACACATCTCAACACCTCGACTCTTTTCACATTACAAGCACAGAGCCACACCCAATTCCAACATGTCAACCAACCTGCGCACCATCCATCACCAATCAGCAACTCACCTTCCACTCAGCAAACGTCCCACCTGAACCTACTGCGTGGAAGGAGTCCCTTGCTTCTCCCACTGAGTGACCTCCAGGAGCAAACACAGGGCTAGGCCATAGGACACAGACCCTGTGCGTGTCTCACCCGCATGAAGGAGTTGAGCAGGCCTCCTCTGTCCATCTGCAGGAGGTTCCCCAAGAGGGGCAAGGGACGAGGTCCTGGAGGGAGATGTCCACGAGCCTTTGGGTGACCCCTGATCAGGAGCAGTAAGAAGCTCACGAGAAGAACAAGGAGGAGCAGGACACTGGTCTCCATTGTCCTGGTCTGAGTACTGTCCACGTGACTGCACACTCCAGCTGGACTTTTATGCTGGACCTGCCTCTCCACTCAGTTGCGCAACTTCAGTTATTTCTGCCTCCTGTCTCATCATTGTCCTGTAGTGTTAGCACCCATACTTCCTGCTCGGGCTGTCGGAGACCTGCTCACTCCCTGTTTCTTAGATGCTGGCAAGGACAGCAATACAGGTACCTAGGACAAAAGAATATAGTGAGTCAAGCATCTTGATTTCAGGGGTTTATGCACACATTCAGCTCAGCTTTCTCTGTATATTTACACAGGCGTGAACTGACTGTGTGCTGCATATGTGAAGAGATATTTCTTATGTGAGTGTGCATGTCTGTGCCTTTGTGTGTTTCTCTAGATTTGTGTGTGTGTGTGTGTGTTGTGGTGGTGGTGGTGGTGGTGTGTCTGTATTATTTGGTTTTTCAAGACAGGATTTCTCTGTGTAACCAGGGCTGTCCTGAAACTCACTCTGTTGACCTGGCTGGCCTCCAACTCAGAAAAACTCCTGCCTCTGCCTCCTGAATATTGAGATTAAAGGTATGAGCCACCACGTGTGGGTCTCGAGTACATCCTTGCATTGGGAATCCACTCTGTTTGTTCTTAGTTTTGCATGTGACTTGAGTGACAGGAGTACAGTTGTATGTTACCGTGTGACTCTCTGTGTGTTTGTACATAGCCCAACCCCAGTGCTGATGTGATTTCTCCAGAGTCCCCATGTCACTCTCTGCCTGTGACAGCCACAGATGGAAGAAAGTGGAGAAGTAGGGAGAGAGGAGGTGTGAGGCTCAGCAGTCAGGTGGAGAGAGAGGCTCCAGCCTGGCAGAGGAGCAGTTGGAGCCTCTGGGTCTCTGATCACTGTGACTGGTTATCACTTCCTCCTCCTGGCTGTCTCACAGCTCCTGAAGCTCTCTGGCCTTCCCCTGACCCACCTCTCTCTAACGGGGTCTCTATCCCCTGTGGACTCAGAGCTTCAGGGTGCTGAGACTGTCTAACTCTATTTCCTACTGAGGCAGAGTACCAGGGAGCAGGAAATTATCATTAGGAGACATTTCACATTGTGCTTCAGGGGGCAAGCAAGTGCACCTAAGACTGGGAGAGCTGAAAAGGAAACTGGACACTCCATAGAGGACCCGCTCCTATGACAATGACGTCAATCCAGTCACAAACTGTCGTGGTTAGAATGTGAAGGACCTCCCACGACTCCATGTGTTTGAATGCTTGATCTCTAACCAATAGTATTTTAGGACGTTCTCAGACTTGGTAGGAAGTTACTTGAGGGAACCTTTCCCTCACACCTCCTCTCTCCCCTCTCACCTGCCACATGCTCACACAGCAAACCTAGAAGCCCAGTTGCCCCATCTTCCTCTCTTGAAACTGACCCTAAATAAATTCTTCTCATTTGCTTCTAAGTAGATATTTAGCCACAGTGACAAAGCAACTAAGTACCAGGAGTGGGGTGGTTATATGATAAACTCACCATTTACTTTCTTGTTTTAAATTCTTTGGTAGTTTGAGCCCCAGCATTGACATGGGATTTTGGGACTAATCACATATCAGTATCAGAAAATGAGTTGCATGTGGGAGAGAGAGACAGAGGCTGGCTATGAATATTAGCCTAATCTAAGTAACTTGTTATGCCAGCCACCCTGATCTTTATATATTGTACAACTCTCAAAATATCCACCAACTAAAGACCAACTGATCAAATAAGTAAGCCGGAAAGGGACATTCCACAACCAAAATATAACATGAAGGCAATGCCTGAATCACATTTAAAACATTTCATTTCTTCTTTTGTTGTTGTCTTAACTTAACTGTATTACAAAACATAACACAGAGAAATTGACCAGGTCCACAGTCTATACATGGCAGTGAACATCTACTCACTTCGGATGGGCATTACAAAGCTGTAGAGCTTCACATTGTCATTTTATTCTTTTGTTTGTTTTGTTTTGTTTGTTTTTGAAGGCAGGGTTTCTCTATAACTTTGGAGCCTGTCCTGGAACTTGCTCTGTAGACCAGTCTGGCCTAAAACTCAAAGATCCACCTGCCTCTGCCTCCTAAATGCTGGGATTAAAGATGTGCACCACTACTACCCAGCTCTTTTTTTAATTTTCATTTTATGTATATAAGTGTTTCATCTGAACACATTTGTGTTCAACACATGTATGTCTTGTGCACAGAGGTTAGAAGAGGGCACTGTATGTTCTCAAATTAGAGTTATAGATGGCTGTAGCCATCATGTAGATGCTAGGAACTTAACCCAGGTCCTCTTCAAGAACAGCAAGTGCTCTTAACTATTGAACCCTCTCCCCAGTTCACATATTACTTCTTAATGTAGCTATAATGGCATTTAAATTTCAATTTGAATTTTAAAGAGAATAGTCAACAATTAGCACTCTGTTTCTGCTCCTTCCAATATAACCCACCCTATCCTCTAAGATAAAAAGCATTCATTCTATCCCAATACCCTAAACTCTAAATTGAATTAAAGCCTTTCCCGTAGTTCACCACCTTTTTTTTTTAATAAATTTGTTGGTCGCCATTCAATTGTAAACTACAAACTAGTATAAATCTGGAGAAATAAAGTCAAATGCATATCTGTGTCTTGGAAGAGAACCTTTATTCTCTATGCTATCTTGACATTTTGACAAAAGAAGTGATGAGAGATGAGGAACCTAGATGGACGTGTTGAGTCATCTGCAGGGAAGAGGAAGATGGTCAAGAAACTGAAACAGATCCGGCCATTTGGATAACACTGACATCTCATGAACTGCATAGACAGTCAAGGGCAAAACTGCCTGGCTCTGTTGATAGACTGTATTCCTTGCATCCATGAAGACTTGGATTTCACCTTCATCACTGCATGAAGTGAGTGTGATAATGAATGCATACAGTCTCAAGGCCCTGAAGGTGATTCTTGACTATATCAGGATCAGATTCCAGTTACAGACATTTCCAAAGTATCTCAGGACAAGAAATATCTACCCTCACATATGTCTGTGTCATTGTGGTCCAGTGACTAAGGTACCCAAGGTGTGTTGTCATCCTGATAGACAAGCAGGTTCAAAGCAACCTAAAACTTCAACAGATGTCCTTTGTTCTTTCTCTCTTGGTGTGAAGGTCTCATGAAACCTGACCTACCCTGTATCACAGTGTAGCCAAGGATGCTTTTACACACTCCTGGCTCCTCTATTGGTGCTGAGTGCATATCCATGAATCACAACGATTATATTATATGCTTCTGGGCATTGAACTCAGGGCTTCATTTACACTGGGCAAGTTAACATTCCCTGACTCTGCCAAATCCCCAGCACCCATTTTTTTTGTTTTGTTTTGACTTTCTTTGTTTTTAGGAAACATGATATCATTATGTAGTGCAGGCTGGACTTGAACTTCTGATTCTCCTGCTTCCACATCCCAGCACTTGGAATGCAAATGTGTGCCAATGTGTCAAAAATATTTGGGGTTTTGCTCTGCCACCCAGACTGACTGTGAATTTATGATCTTTTCTCTTGAGTAACTAAGGTTATAGACTTAGGCCATGTGATCTTATGATTTTGTTATTGTTGCTGTTGGTGGTGTTCATATTGTGTGTAAAAATCTGATGTATATTTTTGCAGAGATAAAATTTTAATTTGTATCATAATTTTACTTCCAAAATTTTTGAATTATGTAGAAAATGACTTATGTATCTCTGCTATTTCAAGCATATATAAAACTTTCAAGTTTGAATTTGATTCTCCATACCACATTTTAAATTGGTTTGTTTATCTGTCTTAGACAAGTTCTCCCCATGTATCCCAGGCTTATCTTGAACTCATAAAGCTATTCTCACTGGCTCCTAATGCTGGTATTACAGACGTGAGCCATTATATCTGGCACATTTCATGTCTGGAAAGTGCTTTCCTATTGCACAAAGTAGTTTTAATTCACTGTCTAACGTTCAGCAACACCCCAATCTCTCTTTTCCCCCTCTCTTTCTCTCCCCCCTTTGTATATTAATAAGGGAAGGTGACATACCTTCTCAAAG